CCTGCTTCTCCCTCTCCTGCTCCCCCTGCTTGTGTTCCCTCTCTCGCTGTGTCTCTCTCTGTCAAATAAATAAATAAAATCTTAAAAAAAAAAAGGAGTCTTGGAATGAGTGCACAGGCTAGCATGATGACTGAGGAGGGAATCTGGAGCCACACAGCCTGTGTTAGAAGCTCAGCAGGCACTTATTGGCTGTGTGATCTGAAGTTGTAGGACATGCATGGGGATCCTGCTGCTGCTTACTGTTGTGTTGTTGTGAGGATTAAATAAGTACGTGTTTTAAGCACTTAGATCAGTGTCTGGCACATAGTAGCTGTTGTTGTTAAGTGAGTTTTGAGATAAATGTTAGAGGCTGGGCAGGATTCAGTAGATAAAGACAGCGATGTTACTAGTAGGGTAGTAGGGGAGGCTGAGAATAGGCTGAAATGCAGCAACATGCAGAGGATTCAGAGGATAGGAGGGACCGTCTTGGGGTACATGTCCATGTAGGGGGCACTGGAAGAGGTGGGAAAGGTAGGATGGTTTGAATTGGGAGACCAAGATGGGAAATTTGGACTTGATCCTCTAGGCAGTGTGGGATAGTGTTTTGAGCTGTTGGACAATAATGTTATTGTCAAAGTGGTGTTTCAGGAAGACGAACCTGGTAACATCGTGTACGTAGCACTGTGCAGAGAAGAGAGCAGCGGAGCGGCTGGGATGTTGTGTGTAGTCCAGACCAGAGATGAAGAAGGGCTGAATCGGGATGGTGGCAGTGGGTATGGAAAAGAGACATGGGCGTGAACGTGCATACAAGGGAGAGTTCGGCTACTGAGGAGATGGACGATCAGGCTAGCTAAGACTAAGTAAAATTACAAAATAAATTATGACATCTAAAATAGGTCAAAATCCAGGGGCGCCTGGGTGGCTCAGTCAGTGTAGCATCTGCCTTCGGCTCAGATCATGATCCCAGGGTCTTGGGATGGAGTCCCGCATCTGGCTCCCTGCTCAGCGGGGAGTCTGCTTCTCCCTCTGCTCCTACCCGCCTGCTCATGCTGTCTCTCATTTTCTTGCTGGCGTGCACACTCTCTCTCTCTCATAAATAAATAAAATCTTAAAAAAAATAAAATAGATCAAAATCTAGAACTGCTGTCTTTCAAACTTAATTATTTGTAAAAGAAAGAAAAATTTAATACCCAAAACATAGGAAATATATATTCTGAGTAAGGGACAGCCTTTTAAATTGAACAGATGTAGCTACTTGTAAAATATAGTTCATTGTCTCTTTTCTGTCCCTCTTTTCTTCCATGGACAAGTGAAAACTGTTTACCCTGGTGTGGGGAAAGCCTGACCTATTTCTTTCGTGGGCGCATTTCCCCCACTTCAAGGCTCTTCTCCCTTAGAACTCCCATCGTTCACTGTCTCTGTTACTATTCCATCACGTGCATCCATTATACCTCGACCCCTCTGGGAGGCCGTGGGAATGAGCCGGATCCCTTCAGTACAGATCCTACGGCTCCAGGGGGCCTCTCCTGAGCTTCTGAAGCCTGCCCCTCACCCCATGCAGGTTGGAGATCAGATGCGGAATGGGACTTTCAGAGAGGACTTGAGCTTTTGAGAAGTTGGGAAATCAGTTTCTAAAGCAGATGGTCCTTTACCAAAATAAGAAAAAAAAAACCTCACAAAACTTTGTCCCGTAATATGCATTTTGTTGAAGAATTTAAATACTGTTTGTTTGTACATCTCAGTAACTGGAGTAATTAAAGAGTAGGAATTAAAAGGTTTTTAAATTGAGAAATGTGGAAGAAATTGGTCCCTTTAATTTTACTTAAGTTCAGGAGAAGGCTTTTGTCCCTTAAGATAGTTAAAAGTGATGGTAATACATCATTCTTCTAGCAATCAAGCTTACAGTTTTTCCTGTTAAAGTGTTTGAGAAACTGGTAAGAAGCTCTTTATTTATGCTTCCTCTCCAGTAACAGCATCCTAGTATGCATATTTTACAAGGAAATGCTCTTTGACTAGAATGAAAATTTTAAAGATTTTTATCATTTATTTGAGAGAGAGAGAGCACGAGCGGGAGGAGGGGCAGAGGGAGAGGGAGAAGCAGACTCCCCACTGAGCAGGGAGCCCAACATGATGCTCCATGGGGCTGGATCCCAGGACCCTGAGATCATGACCTGAGCCAAAGGCAGATGCTTAACTGACTGAGCCACCCAGGTGCCCCTAGAATGAAAATTTAAAAAAATTACTAGCCTCCTGATTGTTTCTGCATAGAGTTCTCAGAAACTTATCCAGTCTTCCACTTTTGAATTGTATTTGTAGAAATTGTTGTTATTAGAAATTATTAATGAAGTCCTTGTCTGTATTTCCCTTTCCCCAGTTTGGCCTGACATTCATGAATATGTAGAAACATTCATTTATATAATTTGGGGCTAGAAGTCAGTCAATGGCTGAAACAGGAAACAATGAGTCTTCATTTAAGTTACTAGAATTTAATACTTTATACATAAATTTAGAGTTTAAAAATTATTTGTGTTTTATAAACAGCTTCCTGTTTTCACTGAATTTTAGAAATTTTATCAACGGATATGATTTGTTCTATTTTATTTATTTATTTATTTATTCTTAAAGATTTTATTTATTTATTTGACAGAGAGAGACAGCGAGAGCAGGAACACAAGCAGGGGGAGTGGGAGTGGGAGAAGCAGGCTCCCCGCTGAGCAGGGAGCCTGATGCAGGGCGCTCGATCCCAGGACCCTGGCCTCATGACCTGAGCCGAAGGCAGACGCTTAACGACTGAGCCACCCAGGCGCCCCTGATTTGTTCTATTTTAAATAAAATATTGAATTGTTTCTTTTTACTGATTAATAACGTTCTACTATGTTAACAGTAGTTTGTAATAATTTGAAATACTGAGTATCCTATTGCTCTTCTGATCTAATGTGATTAGTTGCAGCTTGGTCTTCAGTGGAGCTAGAATTGCTGACATACTTACATTCTGGAGGGTGCGTTCGTGGGATAAACTGCGTCTGTGTCAAGCATTATATAGAAACAGTATTCTGCTTGGGTCTCCTTGGGATGCATTAATTCATATCATAGATTTTTTTTTCTTTTTATTGTAGAGACTTTTGTGAATTTAGCTTTTAAACTTTTCCAACCTAACACGTTTTGAAGGGGAGTATGAAAATAAAAGAACTTGTAAAAACACAGAATGATGATAATTAATGACTTTGGATTATTGCTGCCAACAAAGCCATATGGTACATGCTTGTGTCAGCCCAGTGGGTCATCCTTAGGTTTTTGTTAAATGCCCAGACGCTTTCCTCCCTCAGCATTTGACATTTGAGAGTCAAACATAAATAACTATTTGGAAAGCTGTTTTCACAATAATGGTTTGTCATAAATATAGAAACATGTTTGAAAAAAAGATTTCTCCTACCCCATTTCTTTATAAATGATCGAGTAAAAAATGTCCAATAATAGGTCTGAATGTTTCTGTCGAGAACAAGAATGTAGATACTGGTTTCACGTTCTTGACTGCTTGGTCAAAGCCAATTTGTAGCTTTTCTGTGTCCCCTTGCTTGACTGTCAGTGCGGTACAGTGTGTGGCTCTGTGGTCCCAGACCCCGTGTCACAGTCTTCACGTTTTCTTTCTCTCCCTGATGATTTATCTTGATTTATTCTGCATGAAACCTCTTTTACATTTTATGTGAATATTAATCATCCTATTTAACCAATAGGTTCACCACCTTAAGAATCCCATTAGGGAAGGGGCGCCTGGGTGGCTCAGCCGTTAAGCGTCTGCCTTCGGCGCAGGTCGTGATCCCGGGGTCCTGGGATCTAGCCCCACACTGGGCTCCCTGCTCCACGGGAAGCCTGCTTCTCCCTCTCCCACTCCCCCTGCTTGTGTTCCCTCTCTCGCTGTCTCTCTCTCTCTGTCAAATGAATAAATGGAATCTTTAAAAAAAAAAAAAAAAAGAATCCCATTAGGGAAAAGCAGAATATCCCATGTGAACCAAAACTCGAAGTTGGAAACACAGATATGTCTAGCAACATGTATTACACACATGGCCCAGGAGAATTCAGTGCTAGCACAGAGAAATAACTTTGCTGTGATATTTTTCTTTTGCAAGTATATGTTGATCAATCAGTACCCATGTATTTATCATTTGTGAATCCTAGCTATACCTGATTATGATGACCTTTTCCTTTTTGTATCTGTGGCTATTCTTCTTCACCAGTGATCTGAAGGTAAAGGTTGGGGGCAAGCACATCAATGCTCACAAGTTTGTGCTGGCGGCCCGCAGTGACAGCTGGAGTCTGGCTACGTTATCGTCCACCGAGGAGCTGGACCTATCAGGTGAGCCTCTGACCTGCGGGCACTTACGACTGCCAGCGTCAGAACTTTTGGCAGGAGGTTATGTGTGAAATATTAGTGGTTTAATGAAAGTAGAAAACTTTTCTTATCAGTTGATGGTGACCGTAAACTAGTTAAATAAATAGTGGATAAGTGGGTTGAACACAAACACTTCTGTTTAATACCTGACTAATAAATCATACCTATTTGGATAGCTATGATATTCTTATAATTTATAAAATAGAAATATCTGTCCAGAAACTCTTTCATATAATATTATAAATATGGGAGCATGTGTAGAAAAAAGTTTTTCTTCTACTAGAAAAAGTCTTGGTGTTCAATTACTTAAAATTTAGTCATAGTTGCCAAAGTGCTCTTCCTGGTCTGTAGGAACTTGAACTTAGAAGTAGGAGTTACTCCAGAGAATAGGAGTCCTCTTTCTTTAGCATTAAAGGATGACCCTCAGGCTTCAGAATTTGAGCAGGTGCATTGAGCTGTTTAATGTATGACTTAATTGTTTATGCCACATTATGTTGGATAGAATTTGGGTAAATGTGGTGGTAAGTAGACTTAAAAAAAAATCGTTTTCAAAAGTTTACTTCAGAATTGCATCTTCATTTAGTACTTACCTAACTGCTTTTTTAAAAAAGCAAATTTTAAATTTAATTCTTTTATTAATAGTCATGAGAATTATAACACATGGTAAGGAGATTCCCAGGCAGTAGGGTAAAGAGTTACTTGCAGAAGTGATCGGCTGTGTGAAAATGCTGCTGAATTATGTCTTTCTTCAAAAGGTTTGCCAGTTCAGAAGGTACTGTTTTCCATGCGCAGTGCTGGGAAAACTGAGATGATTATAACAAAGTCCTCACCATATAGAAATGGGGTAATAACAGATCATTTCAGGCGAGGGCTATGCATACAGTATTACAATTGCTTTATGTCTGAGGTACAGAAGACCAGCGTGGGCTGTCACTCGAGCGGTGTTGCAAAGGTTAAGTGGGCATTTATCTCAAGGGTTTAGGGGAGCAGATGGCTAATGCTTCTTCACTGTGAGTGAACTCTGTCTCTTTAGGATCGTTTCTAGGGTTTGTTTTATTTTTTTCTTTTTTTAAGGTTTATTTATTTGAGAGAGAGAGAGTACATGAGGAGGGGAGGGTCAGAGGGAGAAGCAGACTCCCCGCCGAGCAGGGAGCCCGATGCGGGACTCAATCCCGGGACTCCAGGATCATGACCTGAGCTGAAGGCAGTCGCTTAACCAACTGAGCCACCCAGGCGCCCGTTTCTAGGGTTTAACTTGTGACCCATAATTCAGAGTTGCAGACACACAAATATCTGAGCATGGATACACGTGTGTGTGTGCATCTACGCCTGTGACAACACACCTACTTGGGAAACAGTCTTCACTGCTGTACGATGGAAACCTCTGAGCAGAGCTTTTCTTTGAGGCCGTATATCTTCGACCCCATATATAACAGAACTGTGGATAACTCTTAAAGTCCATTCACAAGAGGCATGATAGGATCTCAATTTAATTACGTGACCAAATAGTTTACAAAGATTAGAAGAGATTATAAGATATAGGAAATATTCTAACAAGAAAAAAGTTCAGAATAAGTTGTCATCTTTGGAGATCTGTTAAAACATTATCAAAAATTGATGATCCCAGTAGTTTGAGGCTCATGAAATTGGTACTCTTGCACATGGCCAGTCATGTTACAGATGGTTCTGACAGTTTTAGAAAGCAGACAGCTGGGGCGCCTGGGTGGCTCAGTTGGTTAAGCGACTGCCTTCGGCTCAGGTCATGATCCTGGAGTCCTGGGATCGAGTCCCACATCGGGCTCCCTGCTCAGCAGGGACTCTGCTTCTCCCTCTGACCCTCCTCCCTCTCATGGTCTCTGTCTCTCATTCTCTCTGTCTCAAATAATAAAATAAAATAAAATCTTTAGAAAAAAAATAAATAAATAAATAAAAAAGAAAGCAGACAGCTGAGCTGTACAGTAGTCTTCCTTTGAACCTCATCATTGACTTTGTCAGATGGATTCTGCCATAGGTAATTCAGACAGCATAGATATTTATCATAGTTTCGTGTGTAATTGTGAAATATTGAGTGCAATCAAAATGAGTAAGAATGGAGAACAAACAAAATGAGGTAAGAACACAGAGACTTGCATTAAGGTATAAAAAGCCTAATTCAAACATTAAAATTTTGCTTTTACTTTTTTAGTACATCATAACATTTAAGAGCAACTTTAACTCACTGACTGACCACAAGACTGCATCGCTGTGAATCAGGAGATTAGAAAATGTTTAGTTTAGGAAAGTGTCATGTTTATGCCTTTAAATGTCTTTGGTCTCCTTCCTATTATAAATACTAAGTATGGTTTGGTCTTGAAAGTTAGCCTTCAAGAGTGATCCACAGCAGAGCAGGCATTTTGTGGCATCTGTAGATCAGGCACCTCCTAAGGTAGCTGAGAGTAGAGCCTATGGAGTTGTTACTTTATACAGTTTATGCATGAAATTGTCATGGGGCGAGTTCGTGGAGGTGCCCTGCTCTCTGCTCCACTGTGTGCTTTGTCCAGCAGTCCTGCAGCATTTCCGTGTGTGTGTGTGTGTGTGTGTGTGTGTGTGATGCGATACACAGCTCGGGGTGCCTCCGAAGCCGTGTGTGTGTGTGTGTGTGCGTGTGCGTGTGATGCGATATGCACTAACCCCGCATGGCGGCCAGCAGTTTGAGGGAGATTGGAAATAAGCTCTAAACAAGTGTGTAAGTAGCTCAGAAGTGATTTTTTTTTTTTTTTCAGAAGTGATGTTTTAAGTGGTTGAACTTTTCCACACTAATAGAGTTGATAAAGTCATTTTATGAATTTATGAATTTATTGGTATTTTGTTTCTTCAGAATTATTCCATCCACCTCACAGATGGCAGACACTTTTCAAGGCACTAGGGGACATAGCAGTGAATAAAATTAAATTCCTGTTTGCATGGAATTTACATTCTTAGATTGATTTTCTGAGTTCCACGTTTTCTTTTGAAGTTCTTGTGTAACTGGTGTTTCTTAAAACTCAAAATAAGCACAACTTTAATTGTGTTAATCATTGTAAAAATTTTAGCCTGTGTTGGTGAAGCTAGAGTTGGTGAAGCTAGAGAATGCGAAGTATTTAAAACGTGTTTGGATAGATAGCGTCTTTTTAACCCATGCATTGTTCCAGAGAGTACAGTGTGTTGTGTCTGGTCCGATGCACAGATCTAGTTGTGAGAAAGTATCAGACAAACCCAAATTGAGGAACATTCCACAACATAACTGGCCAGTGTCACTCAAGTCTGTTAGGGTCATGGAAGACAGGTAAGAATCTGTTACAGATTGGAGGTCAAGGGGACAATGAAATGCAGTGTGGATTCTGGACCATAAAAAGGACGTTAATGGGAAAATTGGCAAAATGTGCAAAGGTCTGTAATTAGGTAACAGTATTGTATCAGTCCTAATTACCTGGTTTTGATTATTGTCCTATGGTTGTGTAAGATGTTAACATAAGGGGAAGATGGGTAAGGGGTATCTGGGAACTCTAGAACTTTTCTGTAGTCTGAAATTATTTCAGAACACAAAGATGAAAGATACAAATTTGCTTATTTCTTTATTATTTGAACTATAAAGATATGTTTGTTAAGATACCGAGTGATCAGCTGGGAAGAGAAAGAATCTGACTACTAGCTCAATGCAGTATCTCCAGACCTGTAGGAGAGCTTCTTTGTGAAATCAAACTGTTTGCTTCAGGCAGAAGGACTTGTTATCTCCTCTCTGCAGCCCTGTAGCAGGAGTGGCTCGCCCTCTGAGAGGCTCCCCGCATTAGAGCGGGTGCTTTGAAGATAGAGTTTCTTGTGTGCTTTCTCCAGCAGAGGTCTCATGCTTCCCTGGCATAAATGTGTGTGGTGGTGAATCTTTCGGCTCTCCTGAAATGTGTCCTGGGTCCTGTCAAGCCCCCCCAAAGCCCGGAGAGCTTCCTCCTCCCTCCTGTTGAGTCTGGTTGAAGCGCCCCTTGGAGGCCGCCCTGTGCCTGGAGCACGCAGAGGGTTCCAGGCTCTGCGCGGAGGAGCGCACTGCCCGGTCGTCCGCGTGGGGTTTTGTTAAGAGAAACACAGCAGTACTTGACATCTGTTGGATATCATGTGAACTGCTAGCTCTGGGTGGTTCCGTTTCAGTGTTAGATCATGCTGTGTTCCTCTGGAGGATATCCATGGTAGTTTTAAAGTATGTCCATCAATTACTGGATACTCTTCCCTTCCAAGGTGGGGCCCTAATTCCCCGTCCCTCAGTATAGGCTGACTGAGCTCTGTGTGACAGGTGGTGGTAGAAGTGACAGGGGGGCACCTGGGTGGCTCAGTTGGCGAAGTGTCTGCCTTCCGCTCAGGTCATGATCCCAGGGTCCTGAGATCGAGTCCCACATCGGGGTCCCTGCTCAGCGGGGAGCCTGCTTCTCCCTCTGCCTGCCGCTCCCCGTTTGTGTGCGCGCATGTTTGCGCTCTCTCTCTGACAAATAAATAAATAAAATCTTAAAAAAAAAAAAAGTGACAGCAGGTTCCTCCAGAGACAGGTTTGTGGACGCATCGTGACTTCCTCCTTGGTTTCTCTTTGGGAGCAGCTAGCTACTATGTCCTGAGGACATCACACAGCCTTGTGGGCTCCTGCTGATGGCTCAGACCCCTTGCCAGAGATTCTCTGGGAGCCTTAGGAAATCTGTTTTATCTGTGGTGATATCCCTTACTCAATCCTGGTGTTGCTCTTGTTTTTTCCTAATTATTGGCTATGTTAACTTTGTGTTTTTGTTTAAAATAGTCTTTTAATACTAGTCACAACAGCAGGTTTAGTGTAGTCATGACTGTTCGGTGGTCGAGCCCTACGTGCTCCACCTGTATACACTGACTTGTCTTTAGAATGGCATTTTGAGGGGAGTACCATTGTTGGCTCCCATTTCATAATGAGGAAGCTGTGAGGCACAGTCAAATTG